ATTCTTTTTAACAGGACAGTATCTCCGACGTCGATCAATAGCATGACTTTCACTGTAACTTTCGCCTTCATGTCAGCGAGGAAGGAAGTTTCCCTTTGCTCTCTTGCATTCCTTTTCCTCGTGTTGCAAGGCGTGAAACTCGATTTCCATGCATGCCTGACTACCATGCACTGACCCCGTGCCGGCCTTGTGTAGATTCCAGTGTGAGTCGCAGGTGGCCGTGCATGATGGGTATACATGGTTACTGTTTGTTGCATGATAGTGTTTGGTGAAGAAAATTATCCTGAAGTTTGATTGGAAATTTGAAATTTTCTTAATTTACGGCGGCGTGTGTTAGAGATCATACTGGTTTAGAGGATTTTTTAAAAATCTATTAATATTATCATTAAATATTTCCTTGGGGTATTAGCATCTTCGTTTTCAAGCATTAATGATTAACTGGTTGGGAATTTTCGGCTGTAACGAATCGACAAAAGCCAAGGACAAACAATACCTTGAGTGAAAACAATAAAAGTACATTAAAGCGATAAAATATTCAACAGTAATCCTGCAAGTCATTGTCGTGAATGACGCCCTTGGTCAGCGAGAGGATCCCGGCGTGACTCAGCAGATTCATCCGATGACGTAAGAGTGATGTGCCGTGATGACTGTGGATCCTCAGTTAATGAGTACTTGGCAACTGAATGGTTTTGCGACTGTTGCCATACTGCGAATGATCTTTCTTTATGTTTATGACCACTGGAAATCTTACTTAATGCGGCTCTCATGACAATGTTTTAAATCTAATTGATGAACGAGATTGAATCATATGCATAAAAGAAAACTACACTTGTTTATAAACGTTACTGAATATCATATACTAAATTTTCTTCCCTCTCGACAAGTAATGGCATCTCTAAGACAGGTGTACATGCATTTTTTTCCCTTGTAAGATGTAATGCCGTCTAGCGTGCAGAAAGGAGTAATTAGTACAGAGCAAAAACGTAGTATGGAATAGAAAGCAGAAGTCAAGGCTGCGCATAAGGCACAGGATGGAGTTAGCGCGCGGTTGGAAGCATTCACATATATAATTTTCTTGATGTTGCAGCGAAATAGTACATAAATTTGATATCAAATCGCTAGAATATACGGAGACAGTAAGGATCGGAGACTACGAGAAATTGCCGAGGCGGAAATTATACAGAGACTTAAAATTAACTTTGATTTTGTAAGACACAAGTAAGATCTTTAAAGTAATATCTCACATGGTGATTTTATAACCAACCTTTATCCCGATAGAGAAAAAAAAACATCAAAGATAGAATAGATAAGAGATGATAAAAAAAACTAATTTTCATCCGATACGTAGTGGAATTTCTGTGCAAAGAAAACGGACAGCGGGGGCGGCGGAGGCGAGGGTGGGGGGAGGGGGGTAAAGAGAAGAGGGTGTCTTAGCATTATTTTTCCCCCACGCTTAAGGTCACTCTTGCGCGCGGCCCGAGGAGGCAACGGGAAGGCTTGACCCACAAAAAGTTTCCGTTAAAGGGAAAGGCGATGGGGCTTTCTCCTGCCGAAGGGCGTGATGGGGAATGCCACTTGTACCATGCGGAGACTGCCTCGTCCCTCTGTTCATTTAAACTTAAGAGTTTCGATTCAACCGGGCTCTGTCGATAGGTTATACTAGCCTACATTTACTACACCATGAATTCATCAATGACAAACGCCTCTGTACAAAACCTTCCGTTATAAGTGAAACCTCTACGAACGTACGCTGGTGAGTGACCTGTGACCCGTGATCCTATCCTCCTCGAACAGGAAGCAGAGAGGCAAAATTCGAGAGACGCGCTTTATTACACAGACTCACCCTATTGCACCTTAAGACATCAGCATTCCATCGATGAAAACTTATAATGAAAGATACCATAGACAGTCCAGTTCTTCAGTAAAGTCGCTGCAAACGTCAGCTTTCTCGACCCACGCTTGTTATAACGTCAGAGAAAATATCACACTGTCTTCCCTCGCAATGAAAACAGGTGAAAGGTGAGAATGACACCAGTGACCCAAGTCGTATAATAGCCTGGTGAGACAGTCCTTAAAGAAGGATGTAGAATGACTTAGCAGGAACGCTACGGACGTACGTGACCAGCGGCGTACACGATCAAACAATTTCATGTGTCCGTGCGTTTCCTATTTCGGTATATCTGACTTCAACCTCTTTATATACATATGTGTGTATATATGTACACACACACACACACACACACACACACACATATATATATATATATATATATATATATATATATATATATATATATATATATATATTTATTTATATATACATATATATATGAGAGAGAGAGAGAGGGAGAGAGAAGAGAGAACGCTGGAAGCCCATCTCCCTTAAGGAGAAAGGGAGGCATTGGAAAAGCCAAAGGAAATGCATCATAATCCTGGCCTTCCGCGACCGTGAAACATTTTCGTGGAGATTCTTTTTCTATCACTCTAACTCTTAATTCCGTTAACTTGTTATTTATTAACCTATCAAAGAGAAAAGCGACGATATATTTCCTTATTTGGTCTTATAGGGATATAACCAAACGTAACCTATTTGCAACATTATTCTTGTCTTCTATTTTCAGTTCTTCCTCTTCTGCCTGATGGTCGCAGCCTCCAAGGCAGCGCCCCAAGCCACAGAAGTCAAAGCGGTAATTAAATGACTCAGTGAAAGTGTTAAGAACGAAGCAAATCACATCGCCATAAATGATAATTGTCAACACTAAATCTTGCAGCCTTGTTGACGAAGAAGGAATAACGCTTTTCTTTTCTTTTTTCTTTTTTTTTAGCCAATGCCATATCAGTTTTCGTATGGAGTGAACGTCCCCGAAACCGAAGACATCAAGGAGCACAAAGAGACTACTTCGCCGGAAGGAAGAACCGAAGGAGAGTACCGCTGGCTGCAGCCTAATGGCCTCTTCAGGTAGCTTCGCCCAACGTCGTTTTCAAAGGCCGTTCTCGCTTTGGATGATATAACTGTGCTGTTCTATTTTCCTTCTGTTATAATGTTCTGTTTCCTTTTGTTTTATTTTTTTCTGCTTTTTTTTCTCTCTCTTTGTTGTTGATTTAGTTACTTTACTGGTTTTGTGTACCATTCTATTCCATAGGATCGTACGCTACTACGTTGACGGCGACTCCGGCTTCCAGGCCGTCGTGAGCGAGGAGGAGGGCCCCGTCGTCGAGAACTACTACAGGAACTCCCTCAGTGGCGACAGCTCGGTGGGTCTCGCCTCCTCCGGCTCCCTCAACTTCGCCAAGAGCTTCGACGGCTCCCAGGGCAGCATCGGCGCCGCCGTTAACGTCATCAAGGCTCCGCGCCCGAGCCTTAACCGCCAGCCTGCTGTCAGCGCCCAGGCGGCCTACGCTCAGCAACCAGTCAACAGTGCTCAGGCTGCAGTCAGTGCCCAGTCTGCCTTCAATCGCCAGCCATCAGTCAGTGCCCAGTCTGCCTTCAATCGCCAGCCATCAGTCAATGCTCAGCTGTCCTTCAGCCAGCAACCATTGGCTAATGCTCAGACATCTTTCGGCAGCCAGCCTTCTTTCAATGCCCAGGCAACTTTCGGCAGCCAGCCTTCAGTCAACACACAAGCGGCCTATAACAACCAGCCCTCAGTCAATACTCAAGTAGCCTTCAACAGCCAACCTGCTGTTAACACTCAGGCAACGTTCAGCGCCCAGCCTTCAGTGAACGCCCAGTCTTCTTTCAACTCGCAGCCATCGGTTAATGCTCAAGTAGCTGTCAACGCCCGCCCCTCAGTGAACACGCAAGCAGCTTTCAACTCCCAGCCCGCAGCCGCACAGGCGTCTTACAACCGTCAGCCGGTTGCTACTCAGTCAACGGCCAGTCGGCGACCAACTGCTAGCAGCCAGGCTACAGCCACTCGCCGACCAACAGCCGCTCGTCAGCCGACAGCCGTACCCGTACGTCAGCCGACAGCCGTACCCGTACGTCAGCCGACAGCCACTCGCCAGCCAGCCGTCAGCCCACAGCCAACCTATGGCCCTCAGACTCCCGGCTTTGCCTCTCAGGCTTCTGGCTTCGCTTCCCAGGCCCCAGGCTTCGCGCCACAGATTCCTGGCTTCGCAGTTCAGACGCCCGGATTTGCCCGTCAGCAGAGCTTCAACAAGAAGAGCTTCAGCAGCAAGAAGAGCAGCAGTCAACAAAGCAGTAGTCAGCAGGAGAGTTTCAGTAGTTCGTTCTCTGGGGGATTCGTAGATGGAGGATTCATCAACGGAGGAATCATCGACGGAGGAATCATCGATGGAGGAATAATCGACGGAGGAATCATCGACGGAGGAATCATCAATGACAGCTCTTACGAGGACTCGACGGGAGACAACTACCAGGGCTGAACACCTGGCCCCTTCACCTTTCCACAGTTCCCCACCTGGCCCTTATCACCTCTCCACACTTCCCCACCCGGTCCTTTCACCTCCCCACAATTCCCCACCTGGCCCTATCACCGCCCCACAGTTCCCCACCTGGCCCTATCACCTCCCCAAGTTCCCCACCTGGCCCTATCACCTCCCCACAGTTCCCCACCTGGCCCCTTCGCCTCTCCTCTCCCTCCCCTCCATCATCCTACAAAACGTTAGTGGGGGACAATGAACGCCGGAGAACCATTAGCTAGTAATAACAACATTCTACATCAAGTAAATCTTTACTTGCTTGTAGAAGGAATAGTTCTGAACTTAGAAACAAGTCGAAATCCGAGTAAGTTTAAGGTTATCTTAGAAGGAGCTCCCCATTCCTTCGAAAAGTAGTTATTCATTTATTAACACGTTGCGTTCATTGTGCACCTGCCCCTAAGCAGTATTAAGGGATGGCAGATTTGCGATTCAATTGAGTCCGAATCCGATGTCGTTGACTGTACGAAATATCATGTAATTATATGCATAAGTTTAGCAAACATATCATATTTTCTTATATTGTTCATGTTATTGCGAAATATATATATATATATCACCTCATGCAAGATTTTATTACCACTTACAAGATTTATTCGAAACGAGTGAAATGAACAAGGGTCAAGAGTGAAAGAGAGGAATGATATAATAGATAGGAGATAGATAGATAGATATATAGATGGATACACAGAGAGAGAGAGAGAAGCACGTACACACGAATACACAGGTACACGCAAATACACAGACGCGCACACACACACACACACACGCAAATATATACACACACACACACATATATATATACATATATGTATATATATAATATATATATATAGTATATACATGTAATATATATTTATATATGTATATATGTGTATGTATGTATATTTAATGTATATATGTATATATATATATATATATATATATATATATATATATATATGCATGTATGTATGAAGATATGTGTTCGCATGAATGAATGTGTGTGTATACATATATATAAATAATTACACGCACATGCACAAACACATGCGCGCACACACACACACACACACACACATATGTGTGTGTGTGTGTGTGTATGTGTGTGTGTGTGTGAAATATATATGTATATATATATATATATATATATATATATATATATATATATATATATATATATACACACATCGAGATACACTCACACACGCACGCACACAGACATATATATACAGTATGTGTATGTATATGTGTGTGTGTGTGTGTGTGTGTCTGTGATATATGCATGTATGAATAATATAATACATATACACATACACACATTTGTGTATATATATACATATACACATCGAACTACACTTATATATACATATATATATATATATATATATATATATATATATATATATATATACATATATATATACACACATCGAGATACACTCACACACGCACGCACGCACACAGACATATATATACAGTATGTGTATGTATGTATGTGTGTGTGTGTGTGTGTGTGTCTGTGATATATGCATGTATGTATAATATAATACATATACACATACACACATTTGTGTATATATATACCTATACACATCGAACTACACTTATATATACATATATATATATATATATATATATATATATATATATATATATACATATATATATATGGCCGTAGCGAAGGGGGTTGCGTCCGCAGGGCTTGCTCGAGGGGGAGATGTAGATCACCCGGAAGGCATTCACCTTGGGTCAAATAGGCTCGGGTTTGGAAGGTTCGAAACAGTTGCTTTATCTGATAATGTAGAAGCAATAGGACTTCGGCAGGAAGGTACAGCCTTTGTTTCAGCCAGGGACAGAAGTGTGGAATAATATTGTTTACAATGTGTGTGTGTTTCTATTCATTTATATATATATCTATATCTATCTATCTATCTATCTATCTCTCTCTCTCTATATATATATATATATATATCACACCTCGTCCAGGTGGCTCCTGCTAGGACTTCGCCTGGTTTTCGGTCTGTTTCAGACCATCTACTGGGCGTCTCCCTGGCAGCAAGACGCAGGACTTGGAGGCTACTGTCCCCCAAAATACCCATAGGAGACCCCTGGGTAGCAAGGGAAAAGAGGGCTAAGCTCCCTCCCAGAAAAAAAAGAAAATTAAAACCGGCGGACAAGGCACCTCCAAGCTCCATAAAACGTAATCTTCGCATTAACCATTATACAATGGAAAAGTCAAACCTTAGATTATTAGCCTCGTCTTATTCTCCCGATAACTAACCTTGTGTCAGGAGAGGTCGTTTCGCTGAGGAACAACTATCTGTGTCGGAAGGATCGAGAGGGTGGGGGTGGAGGTAGAATCGCCTCGTACATCCACCAAAGCCTCCCTTTCACTAAAGTGGCAATTGATTCTACTTTGGAATTTGTCGCATGCAAAATAAAATTCAATAACACGTATTTGACTACTTGTTTATTTATTATTTTGGGTGATTTTAATGCTCATCTTACGCTATTGGGTTCCTTAGAAGTGAGCGAGTAGTTACGTTGATTATGTTCCTGATCTGGTCCTTCTGAACGATGGTAGTCTGACGCGGGTGGACGATAATACCGGTAATTTGAGCTTTATTGACTTATCACCGGTCTCTACATCAATAGCAGGCAAGTGCCTGTGGCACACCATTCACGACTCGTTGGGAAGTGATCACCTTCCTATTTTTATTGAATATTCATGCGACACAACAAGAACGCCATCAGCACCTAAATTTAACGTAAAAAGAGCAGACTGGGTCGCCTTCACAAGAAGCGTCAAGCTCGAACTTGTTGGAGAAACCATTGGTGATAAAGTAAACAATATGCAGAATTCGATCTTAGATGCAGCAATGAAATCCATTCCTAAACCATCGACAAATAGCGTTCAGCATAGAGTTCCATGGTGGACACCAGATTGCCACAGGCCGCTGTGTCAACGCAACAAGGCCTACAGACTTCTCAAAAATAACATCAGTAATGAGAACTTCTGTAATTATAAGCTTGTATCATAGTGCAATTAGACAAGCATTGTACATATGTATGTAGAGACAAGAGATTCCTGGCCGAACTTTGTCTCTACAATTAACAGCAACACCACAATATCACAGATTTGATCCACTGTCAATAAGATAATTAGGAAAAAACATCTTTCAAAATTAAATATAATATTCATGAGGGATTCACCTAGAGACATTGCTAATGCACTCACCAGGCAGTTCTCATATACAAGCATCTCAAAAGACTACCCTCCCGCATTCCTGACCACCAAGGAAGCTGCAACCTATACACACTTTGACTTTGATTACACTAAAGATGGATCAACTTGTTCGAGCCCTAGAAGCCTGTAGAGGAACGTCCCCAGGCCACGATGAGATTCGATATGAGATAATAAAGTAACTTAATCATGATGAAGTTGCTAGAAGTGTACAATGAAATTTGGAAGAGCCACACTTTTCCAAACTCAGGGCACTTTGCCCACATCATTCTCAAATCGAAAAGAGGGGGAAATCCCAGATCTACCATATACCGCCCAATTGCATTGACAAGTTGCTTATGCAAAGGCAAGGAACGAATTGTTAACAGTAGGCTATTGATTTTTTTAAATTCCAGTAATTTACTAGTTGACGAGCAGTGCGGCTTCCGAAAGGGACACCAAACACTTGATCAACTAGTAAAACTGGACAGTTATATTCAAGAGGCAATTGCCAAAAATAGACCCCCTCTTAAATACTCACTATATGCCGATGATTGTGCATTATGGCATTCCAGCAGTAATGCAGAATCCTCGGCAAATCGCATCCAACTGGCACTGGATATGATTCATAATTGGGGCCTATAGTGGGGGGGTTAAGTTCCCCATAAGAAAGGGTATTAAGAAAACTTTTTTCACATAGGAAAAAGCCGAACATCGGGCCTACTAAAAGAGTACAAAATTTATTAAATGGCATTTCTGGTAATATATATATATATATATATATATATATATATATATATATATATATTAGATATTAGATATTCACACACATATATATGTAAATATATATATATATATATATATATATATATATATATATATATATATATATATATGTATATGTATATGTATATGTATATGTATATGTATATATATATATATATATATATATATATATATATATATATATGCATATGTATATGTATATATATATATATATATATATATATATATATATATATATATATATGTATATATACATATATATGTATAGGGATATATATGTATATATGCTTATTTATATATTTATGTATATACATACATATGTATATATATATATATATATATATATATATATATATATATATACATATATATGTATAAATTTATGTATATACATGCAAATAAATATATATACATATATACATATCTATATATCTATATATATATATATACATATATATATATAGATAGATAGATAGATATGTATATATGCATATATATTTATTTGCATGTATATACATAAATTTATACATATATATGTATATATATGTATACGTATATGTATGTATATACATAAATATATGTATTAACATATATACATATATATCCCTATACATATTTATGTATATATATATACATATAAACATATATATATATATATATATATATATATATATATATATATATATATATATATGCATATATATGTGTGTGAATATCTAATATATATAAATATACCCATACATATGCATATACATATATATATTTACATATATACATATATATGTACATATACATACATATCTATATATGTACATATGCATATATAGTAATAATAATAATAATAATAATTTAGTTTGTTTCCATTTGTTACAATGGATATCCTTGGTGTGACATACTGTCTGTTTTATTTTGCTTCTAAATTATCCCCTGTGTACAAGGAATGGCCGGGGTTACCATCCACTGGCGGCGAGGGATTTGAACGCAGGTCAGCAAGATTGCTAGACGAGATCGCAGCGGTAGTATATGTATTTACATATATATATATATATATATATATATATATATATATATATATATATATATATACATATATATATATGTGTGTGTGTGTGTGTGTGTGTGTGTGTGTGTATGTGTTTGTGTGTGTGTGTGTGTATATATATATATATATAGATAGATAGATAGATAGATAGATATATAAGAATATGAATATACATGTATATAAATATATTTCTGTATATATATACATATATATATATATATATATATATATATATATATATATATATATATATATATATATATATATATATATATATATATACATATGTAAATATGAATATCTATATTTTTGTATTAATTTTACTTATTATTATAACTATCATATGTATGAGTATATATAAGTATGTATGTTTACACATAAATATATATATTTACATATATATACATACATATATATATATATATATATATATATATATATATATATATATATATATATATATATACATATATATGTATATATATTTATACTTATTATTATTATTATTGTTTATATATATATAT